AATCGCGCGATGGTCGCGCGATTGGCATTTGACCGATGCGCAACGTAGGGTTGACGCTGACGCGGCGCTCTGTTCGTCTGCTCCTGCAAGGCTTAGTCCCCGATGGCGCGTATTTCGAAACTGCCACGTGATGGCGAAATAGTAACTGCCCCTGGGACTAAGCCTTTGGAGGAGCAGACGAACAGAGCGCCGCGCCGCCGCGTGGTCCCCCCCCCCCCCAACTAAGATAGCACCGATTTCGACCTAACCGCTTTTCCATGTGTAATGTTAGTTTTTAGATATATCGATTTTCTTCGCTTCTGTGTCTGGATTAACGGCGAGAACGTTGAAGAAAACGCAAACCTCGTGATTCGACTGCTTATTCGTCGTCCAGAATGTCTCGGTGTGGCTCTCAAAGGAGAGGGTCAGGGTCTTTTTGCAGCCTTCAAGGTAATAATTTTTCAAACTACCCGCTTATCATGAAATTGTCAGCTTGAAGCATTTGTATGATTTCAAAAAAAAATTGGGAATGTTCAGGAAGCAATAGCTCTGTCTGAAGATATTCGTGTCCTTGAGGAAGAAGGCGATGCAGCTCCGATGCTAAAATGTGGACTCCTGGGAGATTCACCGTAAGTTTTGAAGATCATTTGGAAGAATGATTTAGGCCAGCCCATCTGGATATGCATAGTTTTTAGGTCTTACCCATCCAAAGAGGGCGAAGGTGAGGATTATCTTGATCTGGGAGCGGCAACGCTAGACTTTTACTCATCCTTGGTTGACTTGCTGGCTAAATGTGCACCGGATCGAATGGCTATACAGGTATGTTAGACTTTTCACTATGGCTGTTCCTTCCTGAGTACAGCATAAATTTTCAGGCCGGCAAAGGTGACTCCCTTCGAGCTCGCGCTATTCTTCGCTCACTGATCTCATTGGACGACCTTGGTCAGATTCTAAGTCTAAGATTCACTATCCCCAATCTTGCTATGGCTGCGACTGATGGTAAGTTTGAGCACGACATAAAACCCTCTGCTGCTGACACTTCCTTCCGTTCTAATCGGTACCATAACCAAAATCTTATTCCGCTATAGAAGCTATATTTTACGTGACTAGTACTAATCCTTTCCGTTAATCATCCACCTACTAACCGAATGTTCTTATGACAACAACCTCTTCTACTCTTTGATAGACAGTCATATTTGGAAGCGAAAATGGTACAAGTTTGAAATAGTGAGATCACTCGGTAGTATCACTTTTAGCCTGGACGAGGGCCTAGCTAAAATTTTGAGTGGTCCTTTAAGTAGGCGCTTCTTTGGGGGAGGGGGGCTGAATTTAGGCATTTCACGACTATCTAGGTGTGGTCAACTTGCTTTATGATGAAGATAGACATGCAAAGTGATCACTAGTGAAGAGAGAATGGAAAAAGGTACTTTGTTCAAACAACACTGTGCGCCGATACAGTACAGTGGTGAGAGAGCAGAGGGAACAAGCGAGACGCAGACACTCAACAAGTATTAGGTTGTCGGTAATAGGTTGTTGCATCGCGAACAACATTTTACTTAGCGGGTGTGTGTATCTGTTTTGGACTCATTCCTCTTATAACCATAACTGAAACGAGCCTAAAGCAGACCCTTTCTTACTAAAGGAGATCATTGACTGCCTAATTTATCGGAATTGCGCTTTTGATAAAATGGGACTGGACTTATAATCGTTTCTATATTTACAACCATGAGAACTATTAGGAATACTCAATGAAAATTATGTCCCAACTAAAACTTTCGCCCCAGACGGGACTCGAACCCGCACCTCCTGCTTACCAAAACAGCAGTTAAAAACAAAAAGTCAAAATATCTCCTAACTAATCTCTAATCAGATCTGATAACTAACCGTGTTTATACTCACAGTTCGTCGTCGCTCATTCGCCAATTCACATCAACACAATGTGAACGTTACGCACTCGTTTGCGAAGCTCGCCACTGAAGTGAAGGCTAATCGTAATCGACTGCAGTCGAAACAGTATGAACGGAAGCTATCGCAGCTTCGCGAGGAGGACTTCGACTATGCGAATGACGACGATGTCGAATCGCACTCAGACTACGGTTCCGTAAAAAGTCATCTGGACGACGACACAAAGGAGAATAAACCTCCGACACCTAAAAAAGGGTCAACGTCTCCACCGATCGTGAGGAGCGCCAGCAAGAAGAGAGGCCCTGAGTGTGAGCCCTAATAGCTTGAGTTTTTTCTGCATGTTTGCCGTGAAGTGTTGAAGCGTGTTGTGTTGATATTTCCTTCAGCCATTGTTGAATGAGATTACGGTATGTGCTTGTTTAGACAACGGCCCATTGCCTGGTCTTCTGCCCAATCACAAAGGATCCGTACTGCTGTTCCTTGATCGAGTGTACGGTATTGATTCGCAGGACATGCTTTTCCACTTCCTTGAGCAAAGCTTCCTACCAGATCTCCGAGCTGCTACAATGATGGATTCGGTTAGTGTTATGCTTCTCAAAACGGCTTCAAAGTTGTTGGCTAATAGTTCGAAAATACTGTAGAAAGCACGAAAAGTCAAGCAGAAACCATCGAGTGTTTAAGGCAGCGATTACGATAAAGAGGGAGCGCATCGGGGAAGCATATGCACCACACGAATCAGTTACTTGGCTGCCAGGGAAGCGAGGTGTGGCTTTCACGACAAGCGCTGGTTGCTGAGCAGGACTTCGAAAGCACTCCGCCCCCAAAAGCGATCCGCCCACTAGTTTAGTTGGTGATTTGGACGAGCTGCGTTGCCAGCAGCGGCACAACTGGAGCAACTCGATTAAAGCGTGGTTTGGCATGGTGCCACCAAACGCGTTGCGGTGAACTCGTTCATACGTCCGCTTTCTGAGCTGTTACCTGTTCATGAGTGAAAACCAAGGCCAAAAAAGGGGTCCCGTTTTGCGTTTTCTTGACGGATTTCTCCGCTTTTTTCGCCACTGGCGTACCATTGAGCACCACGACCACGTC